GTCTAATTATAAAATTTATTTATTTGTAGAAATATCACAGATCAAATCTTTTTCAAAGTGAGAAAAAAAAAAAAAGTTTTTCTTAAAATATGTGTACACTTGCGATGTATTTTTACGTCATCAATAACTTTACTGTCAGAAATAGTGTTTTTAAACAATTCAATCAAATGGTACAATTCAAAATTGCACAATGACAACTTAAAAACATTGCGACAGATCCTTCAACTTTTGATGATTTATTAATTGGTGTAGTTCTGAAAACAGATATCAGTGGTATATCTTTGAATGGAACTGTAGTTTTATGTTTTTTAGTCTCTGCATGACTTTTTATTTTGTCTTGTATTTTTGCTTTAATTTCACACTTGCGGTACTTAAACGAGCCTCAGACGTATTCACATGAACTGTCATCACCCAGTCTTAAATTATGTCATCATACAGCCAATCTTTCTGACATTTTTGTTCATACTGCTTTCCTTTTGACATGGTGAAAGGTTTTTCATAGTGGAAGACACATATGAAGATGCGCAATTAAAAATCACATGAAAAAGAACCACCAATTGAGCATCATAGCTATATTTCACAACACATTGAGGATACAGTTCAAACAAAGTATTGGCTGGATTGGCTTTTTACCCCACCAGGACATCACACAAGCGATAAACACCCGATGACACAAAGTGCCACCATGCGGATGAGGATCACCGTGGAGAGGTCCCAGAAACCGCGTTCAGACATTTGGCCATAATGATGACCTGCCTATATTGCGGCCCCTGGCAAAAGCCAGAGTGGGGCTTCAAATAAAAAAAAATAACGTCCTAAGAAGGACGTACAACAAAGTATGATTTACGCGTGCTTTTAATCAGTACCGGGGCTGCCAGATTGTTGAACGTTGACCCCAGTGAGTTCAAAGTTTAAGTAAATGCAGCTACTACAATGTACGTGCCCAGACCAAAACAAAAACTGTGTAATATATATTTCATACAGTAATTATTAAACTGACACTGAAAGAAACAAAATCTGTAAAATATCTAACTCTTACATGTACCATCTAGAAGTCAAAAACGCCATCTAGGTGCAAGTGAAAACATCTAGATCTGGATGTAAAAACATCCAAAGTGACAACACTGAGCGAGAAGTGCCGAGTTACTCGATCCTAAAAACACTTAGAGACATACTCGGGTGGAGATCGAAGCACTTATGGTCGTGACTGATGTACGATGAAGATGATCTAAATTGTGAACAATAACAGTGGATTGTCGTGTTCCATGCAGAGCGGCACAGCCAGTTTGTTCCTCAAATAAGCTCTATCCCATTTTCTTAATAAGTAAGTAAGTAAAGTAAAGATCCGTTTACACGCCCTTAGGCGCATCGGGCATATGGGAAGAGCACCCATTTTTTTACAGACCAATCGGCACTCAGTGGGTAATGTGGTCAGCATTATTCTTAATAAGTTCTATCCATAATCGTCTTCTGACCCACGCTGGCTGGCCATAAAGCTTTAGGTGATTTTCTGTTATTTAATACTTTCAACATTATTTTTTGCCAGAATATTCTCGAAACCCCTTTGTCTCTAAAATTGACAACCCCTACCCCAAATAACGACTATCTTGTCTTTGATGTATTTAATCAAACACCTGTGTGAATCTGCTAGTAATAGTTATATTGGTCAATTCAATTCAATATTTGCCGTGACCACTTTCAGCTAGGGTCAGAAAGCATTGCTGCTCTCTGCCTTAATCCGCTATATTTGTGGTTACCGGGCGGGCTGTCATCGAATCAGGTTATCCTTTGTGTTTGTCAGTTTCTTTTCGCTTGTTGTTTGTTATTGCGTCTTCTCGTTGGGTTTCTCTCGAATCTGGCTGTTCTTGCTCTGCGCTCCGGTTCCTAGGTCTGGCTGCTTCACAGTTAGGGTGAGTTTGGCCGGTTGGTGCGTTCAAGGAGGGGAGAACTGCTGCCCTAAAAAGGACTGGCAGTTTAGTGGATGGGGCGGCGCCGCGTCTGGGCATGGGTGGGATTTGGTGCTGCTTTGGTGGGTCTTTTCTGTCTTGGCAGTCTGGCGCTGCTTGTGCATTGGGTTTCAGGTGGTTTGGTGTTGGCATCGTTTCTGGCGCTTCTTTCTGTGGTTTCTGAGCTTGCCTTGTTTTCCGACGAGTTTTAGTGTCCTGTTAAGTGTTTGGATCGGTTCGTTTGGGGGACCATGGTACTTCGTCTGCTGGCAGGCTTTATTTCAAGTAGTCTGCTTCAGTTAGGCCTTCATCTGGTGGGTAGATCTCGTTCACTAAGACGCTTCTAGTTCAAAGTGGAGTGTCTTTGAGCGTTCAAATGCGTTCAGTGATTCCTCTGTGAAAAACCATGGTGTTTTCACCTCTGCTGCTGTCTGCACTTCGAGTCTGGCATCCCTTGCTTCCCGAAGGACCTCTACCCTGTCTGATTCTTTGCGGTTTTCTTCTCTTGCGTCGATCATCTTTATTGTAGCTTGCAGCTCGTTGCTCAACTTGGCATTTTCTTCTTCGGCTTTACGTAACTTTGCCTCTCTTTCTGCTAGCGTTGTCTTGATCGAAATGACTTCGGCAAGGAGTTTCTGCTGGGTTTCACTCATTTCTTGCATTTCGGTCTGCGTTTCTTTGGTTGTCTGCCCCCTTCACGGTCTTCATGACTCTCACGACTGCCAGGATGTCAGCTTTGGACTTCGACATGCCTGCGCGTTCTGCTTCCCATCGCTTCTGAGATTCGAAGGACGCCTGCAACATGCTTCGTGGATCTGTAATTTCTCTCTCTCTCTCTCTCTCTCTCTCTCTCTCTCTCTCTCTCTCTCTCTCTCTCTCTCTCTCTCTCTTGATCTCTCTGAGCTTTGGTGGCTGACTTTTCTTCCCGAAGTGCGTGGATCTCGTTCTTTAGGCGGGCAATTTCCTTTTTCAGTTGGGAGGTGACTGCTGTTGATACGCCTTTTTGTGCCTCATGTCTCCTGGGGATGTTTTTCCTGACGGCAGTGGTTACGATATCTCTGACTTGCTGGGGATAGGGGCATCCTAGGTACCAGGCACCGTGTTGGCCGGAACAGTTGACACATTTACTACTGGCCTTGGCATTCCGGAAGTCATGGTCTAGCTTCGCCAGTGTGCAGTCGCTGAAAGCATGTTGTTCCGAACAGTACCGAAAAATTTCGTGCTTGCTGACACATGTCGCTCTGGAATGCCAGGCTTTCTGGCACCGGGAACACTGCAGCACCTGTGGTATGTACTGTTCTGGACTCTGCCTCCATTGGTTCAAAAAGACTAGATCTGGTATGTCTTCGTCCTCTGTGGTGATAATTGCAACTGACGACGGGTTGAACTTACATTCGATCCTCTCTGTTTTTGTGAATCTCAGTTTCGGGTTCTCTGTCTTCAAGTGTTCTAGGGTCTCTTTGTCGTTCCAATGTAGACTGACAACCCAGCGCCTGGCGTTCTGGAACATAGAATCAATCACTACCATTTTATTGGGAAGCTGCAAGGTCTCCTTGCCGATCTTCTTGATTTCAGTGATCAGGTTCGACGTGAGGTTGGTTCTGTTTAGAGTGGCAATCACGCCGTCCCTTGTTTTTTTCCTGATCCGTGTTACCGCATGCTTACCGAGTAAGTTTTCAAATATATTCAACAGCAACAGTGTGGTCAGGGCGGTGAGCGCTGTTTGACCCGGGCTGGTCTGCCGGATAAATAGAGTGGCTGGGAAGTCACGGCTACCTGTCTTCTGTCTCTCAGGTGAGATTTGTGGCTCTGGAAAGGTTGGTCTTGGTGCGAGTTCTGGTGAAGTCGGCATTGCTGATTTATTATACACAGCACGTTCAACAAACTCTAATATACCATACTGGTGCTCACAGATCAGTGCCAATCAGTAGTTTACAAGTTGTTTGTCATAACACTTCAATGGTCATGTACGTAGCGATTTACCCATTGATAAATTAAAAAGTTACTTTTCACAAGACGTTGAAAACCACACCCCCCCCTCCCCCCCCCCCAACATGGTTTTTTAAAGCAATTTTACGTTCCAAAGATTGCCATTGCTTTTTTTTTTCTTCATACAGTTATCGAAATCAACCAAACCGGTTTGCTACTAATTCGCCCGCAGGCCTGCAACGGAATAGAGCCATTTATTTCAGAATTATTAAACTTGTTGACCGTGTCGACATCCTAGAACATCGGTCCGACACACTCATACTCCGTCTCTGGATGCAGCAGCTATCTCAGTGTCTCCAAGCTCAACGTCCCCACTAGTTGTCTGGCATATATTCTTCCTTTGTGCGGAGGCACAGATAGATCATTACGGTCTGAGGAGAATGGCGCTGCGAGGAGTTACCAGGGGATTCGACGCTCAGCACTCAAGGAAAAGGCGAGACGGATATACAATCAGAAAGTTGTTGGTGCCATCGGAGCTGGAATTCTTCGTTTGTTGCAGAAGACGTGGACGGAGCTCCTAAGGAAGTGCCCATCTGATTTCAATTCGTAATACAACATTCGGTATTCTTTCTTTGTCCCACAACCGGTTTCTGCATGCTTGTCTAATACCAATTTCCAACAGAAATTTAGAAATAGTCCGTAAACTGCAGTAATCCCTATTTTTATAAATTTCCAACAGGTGGGTTCATCGTCTTTTCCTCAAAATTCCTGGGACGCATTTCAGTGTCATAAAGTATCATTCAGCTTATAAACGAATATTACATCTCCCCGCCCCCCCCCCCCCCCGGACACTTCGCTGAAGTACAAGGTGGAAGAGAAGAAGAAAAGAAAGAAAAACTAAGGGAGAGAAAGGATACGTTGTGAGCTTTAAATATAATTTTGAACGTAGCTTCCCTTACAATAAACTTTGTCCTTTGACCCGGAAACGAGAGTCTGACGCAAGCGCACAGTTGACCTTGCGATTCTGTTGTACAAATTCAACTTTCACACGTGCAGTAGTACAACCTTCTCGTCTGCTGGCTGTAGTAGTTCCTAAAACTACCTGAGGAAATACAAACTTACACAATGTCTGGTGTCAGTAAAAATGTGAGTAACTAGTCCTGTTAGACTTTGAATAGTACTGGATATGTTTAATATTGTGCTGTGAAATTAATTTTATTAAAAAAAAAAAATATCTGATGACACAGCAGTGACTGGCTAAATGGACAATACAATTGAAGTATGCTGAAAGAACTGATGATGATATGATCAGACTTACGTGCAGGTTTTGCGGTTTTACAGGAAATTTAATTTAGTATTTTAGCCAGTGGCTTTAAATAATTCCAGTTTGTTTCTGCTCTTTAAATAAAACGATATTTTCATTATCGTCGTATTTTCTAAATAAAATACCCCCTTAGAGGTAGAACTTAAATGACGAAAATGAATGTGTAGCAATTGACTTTTGAGTTTCGTCATCTGCAGGAATCTCACTATCACGAATTAAAGCAGTAAAAGTTATCTTGCATACCATACCAGTTATCAGTAACCAAGTGCCAGTCTCTGTCCCTTTGCCTTAATTGCTTTTTCTTAAGTACTTACTTTAAAATAAAAGTTATTTAGGAAAACAATTATTAATATATTACAATAAATAATACAAGATATAGAGTACAGTACTACTTCTAATACTCAGTAATACTATATATTGATCACTCATATTCATATATAATTATATGCTATAGCATGACCATATCCTTTACTTTTAGAATGTTGCTGTCATAAAGTCATGGCCGCTATGACAAGACATACTTTATATTATTTGCATGCCTAAAATGTTTTAATGACCTTTGCCTGACCTGGTTATAGGAACTTACTCGACTGACCTGCAATGTATGCTGTAGATGAACTTACTTTCATTGCTTTATAATAATTATATGAATGAATTATAATAATTCATTAGAAACCCTGCCTTAGGTGTCTTTAATTTGATATATATATATATATATACCTTTATATATATATATATATATATATATATATATATATATATATATATATATATATATATATATATATATATATATATATACCCATCCCTGTTGTTTGGATTCCAGAGACCCATTGTGTGGGAAACACACAAAAAAGTCAGCTACTTAGGGGCTTCTTTCAAAGTCGGAGTGCATCTGCCTGAAAGGCAAGAAACCATGTCTGCATACACATATGCCAGATCTGTAAAACAGATGTGCACACAACATTGAGGTTCTGAAACAAGATTAAAGTCCAGAAGTTGGCGAACCAGAACTTTTTGTCGGAATTTATATCCAGTGAACAAAAAGAAGATTATATATTATATAATGAAGAATATTATAATTTATATATATTATATAAAAAAGAATATTATATATTGTTGTATATATAAAAAAAGAAACATGTTTGGAAGAAGTGGATTTAAGTGATACAAGATGAAAAAAATATGCAGAGAATCATCAGACATACCATGAAAGGGAGAAAACTTATATGGAAAGTGTCTTTTAGTTAAATTGCAACATAATTGGTTTATTAATTTGTATGCAGACTGTTGGTTCTTCGCATTTCAAGTAGATGCAGTTCAGACTTTGAAGGAAGCACCCCTAATTAATTGGTTTCTATGGCATACTTGTTGGGAGGAAAACAAATGGAGTGGGTAGTGGGTCTGTCACCCCCCCCCCTCCCCCCCCTTCCCCCCCTTCCACGATGGGGCCCCGGAACCAACACAGGGAAAACAGCCAACAGTTGCTAGGGTTGGTTTGCATGGGACCTAACTAACATTACCATATACACTAAGCAAAGTAGATAGGGTGGTGTAGATAGGGTGCCACATTCTCACTCTTTGGACAGTGAATATGGGTGTTTTTTTTTTTTTAAATATTAAATACTTATGTCAGTGTAAGTGTACTTTTATCTCCAAGTAATAATAGATGATTTTTGAAGTGAGATAGAAATCTCAAAGAAAAATAATAAAATGTAGAAAGGTAGGTAAAGGACCCCAGTCCTTGCCTTCAACCATATTATATAGTTTATGATTAGTAATATATCTTTATTTTATAGACCAGTTGACACTCAGAGGGTGGTGTGGTTAGCATCACCTTGACGGCTTTTACTTCCCAGGACTTTGCCTGGTACCTATTTATGGCTAGATGCAAAGATACTTTTTGAAAAAGATCCACATTGTGATTTGAACACAATTTTCAGATTTGCTGGTGAGCGTCTGGCTGCTGCACCATGGCGGCCCACAAAGAGAGATAAAGAACACGTATACATTTTTAAACTGTCGTAAGTTATGCATACACATGACATACACACACACACAGCAAATAGGCTCTGAAGATACTGAACTTAAAATTAAAGATAAGGATAACTTAGAGTTAGTTAATCCACTTTATAATTTGGTGCATTTAACATCTTAACTGTGCTTATGCTTAAAAAAAAAGCTATAATAAAGTAACTTTTTGTTGCAGATTGTCATTTTTAATGGAGCATTCCGAAGATGCTGGATTCAGAAACGTTTTCAGTAAGTAATCCTAGTAATATTATTTGGGTCTGTATATGTAAGTCGTTAAGGAAAACAGGCAATTCACAAAGAGAACTGATTACTCAGTAAAGAGATTTGCAGTCTTCATTCTTTGGGCACATCATGACAGGTTAACAACTAGAGGCAAAACTCACTAATTTATTACTGTTTACGGCGGTGTAGACAGGGGCTTGTGAGCCTGAGGATTTAGGGTCGTATGGCTAGTGCTGTCGCTGTGGACTGTGCAGGTTAGGATGTTTAATTTTGTCTCCGACAGAAAAAGGGATCGAACCTGGGTCTCCAAGAGTGTATGACATAATCTGAGTATATTGCAATTATGGGAAAATAAAATGAAATAAAGTCAAAGAGAAACTCAGAGAGAAGATATGAGTTTGGCATCATGGCATAAATCTGTATCAGAAATGATTTCAGTTCACATAGCAGAAGGCTGTAAACATACTTGATTATTAATGATGCATGCTTTAAAAAGAATGCATATATGAGTAGATTTATGTGATTCATTATTGTCTGCGTTGTTATGTGGCTGGTTATTTTTTAATCCCAGATTATTATTATTTTTCGTTTACAAGCTGTAAGCACGGGCGGAAAGTCCTGGTTGCTCCCATTTCAACTTCGGCTTTGTGCCAAGCCCTGGGCTTTGTATCTGCATCGGTTTAACTGGCACATTTGTGTGCAGGTGGTTATTCCCTGCCGCTCATGGATTAGTCAACTCCTACGACATGCTTGTTTGGCTGTTCTTGTTTTTCCCACAATGGAGCCCTGGAACCTACATGGAAAAATCCTAGATTAAAAGATGGGAAAAGGGGGAAGACTATTTTTGTTTTAGATGAACCTGTCAAATGAAAGATAAGACTCTGAGTCATCTGAGTATGACTGTTGGTTGGAATTTGAAAGGAAGCATTGCTTGTTAAAAGACTGTTCAGTATAAGGATGTGTGGTTAAACAGTCATGAGCAGGACCTGGTGATTCCTTGGGTGAGTCCACTGCCAGAGCACCATGTAGTGGTTCTGCAATTATGGTAGCCCCATTGAATGACAGGGTGCGCTCATGTTCCGCCCTTCTCTTGAGGGCTGACTAGCATTATGTGGCTGCTCTTAACAAGCCTGATGGGAAAGAGGCTGGCACCACCTGTGAACTAGAAAACAAAGATGGCTATAATGCAGTGTTCCATAAAACTAATCGGTAAGTCTAACCCGAGCAGCAAATGCTTGCACCAGTTAGATGTGTCAGCCAAAAATGCAAATATCACAACCTTGTTGTAAACAGGCACAGCGCATTCACATATTCAGATGGATGCAGAAGAACAGACTGTAAATGAATATTATTTTTTCCCTCCTCATACATCCACAATCTTACCTACTGTTAAATAAAATTAAAACGTTTTCTGTTTATCTCCCTACAGGTCTGACAAGGTGAAAGGCCATGTTGTTGGCATTGACTTGGGTACAACTAACAGTTGTGTGGCTGTGATGGAGGGCAAGCAGGCAAAAGTCCTGGAAAATGCTGAAGGTTCTAGAACAACACCATCTGTTGTAGCATTCACCAAAGATGGGGAACGTTTAGTTGGGATGCCAGCCAAGCGTCAGGCAGTAACAAATGCAGCAAATACACTACATGCAACCAAGCGTTTAATTGGCCGTCGTTTTGAGGATCCTGAAGTGCAGAAAGACATGTAAGGCTTAATTTGCTCTTAAAATTGATAATAATAATAAAATTAAAAAAAACAACGGAAAAGCACTTGATCTGCTATAATTATTCATTCATTCTGGAAGTTTGTCTTGTTCCAGAACTTGAGGTTTGTAAGCACATCCAATTTACAGAACTGGCTTATTTTTATGCAGACTGTTGGTTCATTGCTTCTCAGGCAGATGCACTCTGGCTTCAAAGGAAATCCCACTAATTAGCAGACTTTTAGACATGCTTGTTTGGGGGTTTGGTTTGTTCCCCACACACACAGTAGGGACCCGAAACCCACATAAGGATCTTTTTATTTAATGTTGTGTTGTGTATTCTGTCATTCAATTTTTTTAAAAATATCGCCCATTCTCTCCTTTTCCCCCTACCCTCTCTCCTAATAGAACATAGGCAAAATACCTTGCCTTTTATTTTTTCATCTCAGTTCTGTTGGTCATGCTAGCTTTTTTTTCCCCCTTTCTTAAGTCTTTGTTACTTATTGTAGTACTTTAAAAACAGGTAATACTGAGGGTTCCTTCCATGGTTGTTAATACACATATTTAAAAAATATGACATCCCCCATGTTTCAATTCTTTTTAATATTAACAAATTCGCACAACTTTCAAGTTTCTTCGACATAAAAGTTTTTAACCTGCTTGTCGACCCATTTTATTGTCCTGTTTTTGGTTGTTAAACTTTTCATAATATTATATGCAGCTCCGGGAGTCACCGAGGCAAGATGCTCGCCGTGGATCGGAAGGTCGTGAGTTCGCTCCCTGGCGGAGCTGGACTTTTTTCAAAAATGACCTTGGCTCCCAGGTTGACCCAGGGTTGAGTGGTTATCGGGTGCAGTCCCGGGAAAGTAAAGGCGGCCGGCGTGATGCTGACCACATCACCCTCTTGTGCCAACTGGTCTATTAAAATATAGGTCTAGCCCTATACGCCTAAAGGCGTGGAAAGGGTCCTTTACGTTTACTTTTTATATGCAGCTCCTCCAGTGTTTTTTTTTTATTTGTCTCTTGGGTCTGCCTTTTGTTAGTTTTTGATGATTACATAGACATTTATCCTGAAACTGAGGAATTTTCTTGAGCAGCCATTCTAATTGTCAGTCTAATTTGTTACATTGTTTTTATTTGGATCCGCAGGAAAACAGTTCCCTATAAAATTGTGAAATCTTCAAATGGAGATGCTTGGTTGGAAGCTCAGGGCAAGGTGTACTCTCCGAGTCAAGTTGGTGCTTTTGTTTTGATCAAAATGAAGGAGACTGCAGGTGAGTTTCTGTGTTACGAAAGAACATTAGATTTATCATTTTCATATCCCTGGGGATCACGGCTGGAGCTACAAAGCCTGTGCTTTATGTGAAGCTTTTGGCACATGGCTAGCCATTCTACAGAGGGAAACCAAGCAGTGTGTGATAACACCTGGGGGGAAAATAGAGAAAGAGGGAGAGTTGCTTATGGGTTGTTGTGAAGTAATGTTTGTCTGTACCATTATGTTGCCTGTTTATTAAAAAAAAATTTTTGTTTTCAAATTGTTTGCTCTTTTAACCAGTGCTTGATAATGCCTTACTCTTACATTATAATACAGATGTAGTCCGTTATTTTTTGACATTTTATTAAACTGTTGAGATGAAACCATTTATAGAGGTGGGGGTACTGCTCACGTTTGTGTCCGCATTAGCCTTCTTCTTACCATCGCGTGAGATTTCTTGGGTTGTACCTACGTGGGTTTCCATTCAAGTCTACACTGGCAGCACATAGTGTCCAGGCTTTGTGCAGTGAAGAGGGGGAGACTTCATTTGTTGTATTAAAAAAAAAAAGGCAAGCGTGTCTAGCTGGACAGTTGCATTGTTTGCCATGGTTGTGGTTCCCAGACCTGCTTATGGCACAGCTTAAGTCACCTGGAAAGATGCCAACAGCCGCCTGTCTTTAGATATGTCCTAGTCAAGAGATGGCTTATACCAGCACATGGATATTCCGTTCCATCCACATTCAACTAATAAAGCAGAATAGGCTTGGACTCTCTCTGTACATGGCCTGTTGATGTCATTTCTTTCATTCACCTTGTACTTTCCCTATGGAATCAAGTCAGATGCAGTCTGGAGATTTTTTAATGTAAATATTGATTTTGATTCTTCTCCAGAGCTGAACAAATTTGTTTTAAAGTAAATTAATTTCTGGTTTCTAATTACTATTTGGTGGCTTATTTATACTTTTTTTTTGTCTGTATGTTCTTATTTTTTCAAATAAAATAGTTTTAATTTAATTTTTTTTCCCCCCCCACTTGCTACAGAAAACTACTTGGGAACAAAAGTAAAGAATGCAGTAGTTACAGTCCCTGCTTATTTCAACGATTCACAGAGACAGGTAAGGCACTTTGATGTAGTACAGTCATTGTTTCCCCAACAGAAATTCCTTCATCACCAAAGTAAAGGGAAGGGTGTGTGTGTAGCTCCATAGACATTCCATTAACATCAAAATAGTAGCATCTGTGTTCATTTCTATTATTCATTTATGACATTTTATAGGAGCTGGTATGAAGTATTGTTACTTGTTTATAATTAAAAGAAAAATCTGCTGTTCTATGTAATAACACACGCTGCTTCTTTACTTGTAGGCAACAAAGGATGCTGGGCAGATTGCTGGACTGAATGTGCTACGTGTGATTAATGAGCCTACAGCAGCAGCTCTGGCATATGGGATGGACAAAACTGAGGATAAAGTGTAAGGAACATTTTCATTCAAATAATGTTTCCAAAACCTCTAGTGTTCAGGTTTAGTGAGTCTTCAAATGTTGCAAGAAAAGAAAACAATCTTGAAAGACAAAGTACAGCATTTAGTGAAACAGGTGATTAGGACAAACAGGCATCACTGACAATGCCTACTGGTGTTGAATGAAGCTATGTAACATTTATATAACCAACACATATTTTTAGTATTTGAAACTATTCTCAGTATTTGCTGGACAGTGGCTTGTCTGTGTGAAGAGCTTGTGTTTGAATCTCTGCTGTGTTAATTTTTTAACGTCAGCCTCAGCTTCCATGTTGGCTCAGACTAAACTGAAGTAACATTAAATAAATGTCCTGGAAAGTCAAGGTAGCCAGCATGATGTGTATCACATCATCCATTACGTGCTGATTCATCATCAGTCAGCAGGTCCTTTACTAAACGTCGCTGTCTCCATGGCACGCCTGAAAGTCTCTCTTTGTCTGGCTAATTCTCCAGCGTTGTTGGCTTTCCTAGCTAAAGCATCTTCAGTGTCTTGTATCCAGGTTCACGGAGGTCAGCATCTACCTGTTTTCCAGAAACTTTCTCTCTCAGCCACCATTATATTTACAGACCAGAGTACCTTAGCTTTCGGGACAGGATGCTGTTTAGGAGCCAGTTCTCCTTTATGGTCACATCTTGTAGAATGTTGATGTTTTTCTTCTGTTTGGTCAACAGTATTATGTGCTTGATTAGTCTTTGACAGTATGAGTCCAGCTTCATACCCTGATGTGCCACTGGCATGGGAAGGGAAGCCTTTATTGACAGTGTCATGCGTTTCTCTTCTTCAGGGTTGCGGTGTATGATCTGGGTGGTGGAACATTCGACATCTCCATCCTGGAGATTCAGAAGGGTGTGTTTGAAGTGAAGTCAACTAATGGTGACACCTTCCTTGGTGGGGAGGATTTCGACACTGCTCTCGTCAACTACTTATGCGCAGAGTTGAAAAAAGAAGTATGGATGTTTTTGTGCAGAATAATTTTCTGTTGTTCTCTAATTTTCTGCCTTTCAATTTTTTCAAGTATACTTTGTTTTAATGCCTAAATGACGTGTATGCATGAACATGAATTTTAAAGTACAGTAAGAGTCAAATTCTAGTCTAGCTTGGTCAGATATAACTATTTCAAATTAGTGTACAACTTTTAAAATAGTAGAGGAGCCATTTTTGTGTCATGGTTACAAGGAGTCTTCTGCATCATTTGTCTCACACATACATATATCCAGTTAACTGTCTGATCCTTTTCACTGTTAACAACTCCCTTTATATCCTCACTTTGCCACGGTTAGCAATTCCTTTTATTCTCTCACTTTGCCACGGTTAGCAACTCCCTTTATATCCTCATGTTATTATTATTAATCTCTGCCTCTAATTTTATGTCATATTTTGTTTTTGTTTTCCGCTGTTGAAATGACATTCTAGTTCTCAGTGTGTCTCCTTTTCTAGTGCCAGTGTATTTTCTTTATTTCTTGATTCTCTGAAATTTGTTCTCTCCCTAATCTCTACATTTTTAATTCTGTCATACTAGTCTAGACAAAGAGTAGTAAGTTGAAGTGTTGAATACCATAAGTCAAAATAATTGGGATATCCCTTGTTACAATCCTGTTATGCTTTTCATCACTATACAACTTCATTTCACCTGCTCTTGTATGTTGTTTGTTAGACAAAATGAAGATAAATGAATGTATTCCTTGCATTGAACTGATCATGGTTTCAGAGCACCTAAATGTTAATTTTACTACATTTATTCCAAAAATATATTTCTTTCAGATAAAACTTGCAGATATAGTCTTTTAGGAAAGAGTGTATTTAATGTGTGTAAGCCTGTAGTATCTGACATTCAATCTTGTTTGTCTAATTGTAGCAAGGCATTGATGTAACCAAAGATGTCATGGCCATGCAAAGGCTGCGAGAAGCTGCAGAAAAAGCAAAGTGTGAACTGTCCTCTTCTATACAGGTGTGCATTGAATGTTTGTTATTGGAACTTATTTCTGTACAGTTGAGATCGTTAAATGCGGCTAACTAAGAAAGGGGCCTATATCTGTTGTGATGGCCTGAACAGTTGGAATGTTTTGAAGGAGGCTGCATCACACTTAAGATTTTTAGTCAGTAATGGAAAACTGTAATATAGGAAAACAGACCAGATTAGTATGGATACTACTACTACTATACACAGGTTGATTTGTAGTCTTAGGAAACAACTATAAAGATGCCTGGTTGGTTGCCCATGCCACTTGATGAATCTGGCAAACATTTTTATATTCCCTTATTTAGATATTTAAAACATGCTGTAATCATTGGTATTATGATGATTTACCTTACATTATCTAGGATTTTAAACCCTGTCATAGGTTCGATCCCAGCTGCGGGCCATGCGCCTTGCGTTGGTTTCGATGGTGGTGTCCAGAAAGCAATGGCAAACTACTGGACGTAAATTTGCCTAGAAAAACCACACAACGGCCAGGGGCTGTTAGGGTTGGTTCTGCAACGTCATGTAAAGGATACGCAGCTAACCATAGCTGCCATTGAGTAGATTTAGCTTCTGATATTTTTGGAATTTAAAACCTTGATGTTTGAAGTAAGATTATGAATCCTTGAAGCTACAGTTTGGCTGTTTTATTTTTTCAGATATTTTTTTTTTTTTCAGAAGCTATCACTTCATGTAATCAGATACGAGTGTTAAACAGTGGCTCTGTGATGAACACTTCCATAGACATGCCCAGTCAGTTTCTTGGTAATGCTTGAGAACGAATGAACAAACTTAATTTTTACAGCATTACAGATTTGACACCCGGGCTCTTCTTACATTCTGCCCTGCCAAATACTCCTAGCACTGATCATTCATATGGTGGTTGTTTATAAAATATGTTGTTTAAAAAGGCACCTGCTCCCCCATGTGGGTTCTGGGCCCCTGTTGTGGGAAAACCAAGAATAGACCCACTGCCCACCCCAAAGCATGTCGTAAGAGTCAACTAATTGGGAGCATCCTTCGAAGTCGGATTGCATCTGCCTGAGAGGCAAGGAGTCAGCAGTCTGCATACAGATGAGTCAGATCTGTAAAACTTATGCACATGCGACACTCAGGTTCTGGAACACGACTGCAGTCCAGAAGTGGATGAACAACGAGAACTTTCCGCCAGAATTTACAGCTGGTGAACGCTAAGAAGAAGAAAAGCACCTGCTCCTTAACATCTGCCCGGTCAGAATGTCTATTGCCTCTTGTAGCAATTTTTAACACAGGCCTTATGTGCTTAGCAAGATCATCATCCGATTGCTAATGTACCCTTTTCACTCATTTCCTACAGACCGACATAAACCTGCCGTATCTGACAATGGATGCCTCCGGCCCTAAACACATGAATCTGAAACTGACAAGATCCAAGTTTGAGTCTATAGTTGATGGTTTGGTGAAGCGAACAATTGGGCCATGCCAGAAGGCTTTGCAGGATGCTGATGTTAAGAAGACAGATATAGGAGAGGTCATTCTTGTTGGGGGTATGACCAGAATGCCCAAGGTATGTTCATTTTGTGCCAGTTATGATTTAATTTGTAGTGTTGATTTAATCTATAGCATTAAAGACAGTTACTTGTACTATTAGAAAAAAATGGTAAATGTATTGGGCACATCATAAGAAGCTGTTCAAGCATCACTAAATAGACACTGACATTGGAAACAGATGGATTGAGGGAATGAGATGGACTGAGGAAATGAGATCGTGCAAGGAAAACTCTAATATAATGGGTCTGGGGTCCTATTGTGGGGAGAGAGAATAAAAATAATAGACCCTCTGCCTCCTCAACAAGCATGTCCTAAGAGTTGACTATTTATTGATTTCATTCGAGGTTGGAGTGCATCTGCCTGTGAGGTAAGGAACCAACATTCTGCAAACAAATAAGCCAGATCTGTAAAATGGGCATGCATGCAAAACTCAGGTTTTGGAACAAGGCTAAACAGAAGTGAACAAACAGAACTTCAGTTTACAGCTTTTGAATGCAAAGAAGAATGAAAGGGTTGCTGAGAAAGGCCACACATGCTAGGCTAGATTCCATCTTTACTCATGTGGTAGTGTTATACTGTCTTGTTTATAATAATTCCAAAGAGCAGTTTCCATTGGTATACCAAAGGCTAATGAAAATTAATATTACCATCTCAACTCACAAAACCAACATTTGAATATTTCATTCATTTTAGGTTCAGTCAACAGTGCAAGAGTTATTCGGCAGGACACCAAGCAAGTCTGTGAATCCAGATGAAGCTGTAGCTATAGGTGCTGCTATTCAGGTAACACTGTGAGAGCAGAGTAAATTTGATTACACTCTTCTGTTATGCCTTTGACCCAGCATAAGTGATCCCAACAATCATTTCTTCCAGGTTTGCTGGCTACATTGCTCTTGAGGTCTTGCCATATATAAACCCACCCTTACTTACCACACATAGATCTCTATTCTGCTAGGAATTCTAGTGAAATGTGACTGAAAAGGTTAACGAAATTGGGAAGCAGAAAAACGTGCACAAAACACAATAATGTTTTTGTTGGCAACCTTTGTCAAACATGAAGTGAACTACACAAAGGTAACAAAGAGGAGAGTATTCAGATCTCTATGGGGCCACGTGAGCTTTAAAAAAATATGTTTTGTGCAAGTTTTTCTGCTTTCCCATTTCGTTAAGCTTTTTATTCACATTTCCCTGGCGTTTCTTGTGTTAGTTTAACTGCAGTCACCCCCATATTTTCACCTCTATTCTGCTACAAGAATGCAGTCACACCCATATTTTCACCTCTATTCTGCTACAAGAATGCAGTCACACCCATATTTTCACCTCTATTCTGCTACAAGACTATTGTCACTTGAAACAACTGTATGCACATCCCTGAATTATTTTCACATTAATATTATTTGTTTCAGTCATAACTTGTGCCTTTTAAAAACACATTTCCTTCTAGTTTAACAGTTAACTGACTGAAAGTCACCGAAACGTATTGCTTATAAAGAGTTACAAGACACATCATGACCGAGTCTCACATTGGGTGGAATGTCATCAGTGTGTTTTATCCGATGACCGCATAATTTTGAAAAATGCAAACTCAAACAGTTTAAGCGCATGTAAAGGTCATCTCTTTACTTACTGAAACTGGGTGAAATAATAAATGATAGTGAGGTAGTCATGTGATTCCTTGGGGTAATCCTTGTACCAGAGCAGCATGTCTCAGCTCTACATCTGTCTGTGGCATGCCTTGAAAAGATCGACCAGGATGCATGCAGCTGACCTTTGATGGATCCTCTGGGGTCATCACCTGTGGACCAGAAGGCAGTGATGACACAACAGTGAGGCTGTGCAGTGGCAAACAAAATAACCAGGCAGCAAATACCTGATCTGTGAATCATTGCTTCTTGCCATATACTGTCTTTTAGCAGCTGAATTAAATGGCTGAACATTTCACTTTTTTCTGTTGCAAAATCTAGCGCTGCTGTTATCTTTACCGTCTTTCAGATTACATCATTTATCTTCTCTCTTCTCTGTATGATGGCAAGTGGTAACTTACTCAGAAATAAAAGGTTTACTTGTATTTTCAAAACTTTTTTTTTTCTGGTTTGATTTCTTGTACTAATGATACTGTTCATCTAGTGAAGTGAGGGTATGTTGCTGTAACTATATTTTGTTTGCACAGGGAGGTGTACTAGCAGGTGATGTGACAGATGTATTGCTGCTGGACGTGACACCCTTGTCCTTAGGCATTGAGACACTAGGTGGTGTCTTCACCAAGCTTATTAACAGAAACACCACTATTCCCACAAAGAAAAGTCAGGTATGAATTGTTATATTGTATTTTGTTGTTTTGCATTTATTTTCCTAATTAGGATTTGCATGTTTGCACTTTCCTGTAATGTCTTTAATGCATATTTTTTTAGGGAAAGATTTTTATATCAAAACAAAGTTTTCCCTTAGTGGATTTAAATAATGCGGACACAAACAATACATGGCACAATTGAAAACATATTTTTCTGCATCCAGTCAGCTGCAGAGTAACATCATCCTATAATGAAAAACCCTTGACTCCCAGGTCGACCTAGCCTTGAGTGGGTATCAGGTGTAGTCCGGGAAGTAAAGGCGGCCAGGCGTGATGCTGACCACATCGCCCATCTTGTGCCAATTGGTCTGAAAAAAAATATCGGTCTAGCCCTATACACATAAAGGCATGGAAAAGGAACCTTTACTTTTATTTACTTTACTCACTTTTACTATAATGAAGCACAAAAACTGAATTACTTCCAGTGAAATGCACATCACATGCTCTTTCTGGATACATCTAAGTCACCTAAAATACACAAGTCAAGTGACTTAGGGTAATTTCAGATTTACTGTTTGCTTCATATTTTTTCATAAATTATCGCTGTATTACTAATCTGTTTTTTAACAAGTTTGTAAATACTTAGTGTATATACTTTAAGTATTTCTACTCTCCTAGGTGCTATCAGGGCCTTTAAGATAATCATAGACTGGTAACACTGTAGCAGGCCAACACATGTTTTGAGAGATGATTAAGGATGGTTATTTGTTGGCAGTGTCCTAACGGGAAGCAAAGAATGGCAATACTAGACCCTACCTCGTTAGCTGTAAAAGGTGATCTTCTCCTTTAGTTTAAAAGATTTAGTGATAACAGACAACTAACTTTGAACAAGCTTTAAAAAAAAAAGAAATAAACTATTCATCAACCCAGAATGGGCACTAGGAATGTTAAAACTAAAGTGGAAGATTATTAGAAACAAGATGGAAAAGCAAGCAAAGAAAGATGAGTGAAGCAGTACTGTTCTCAAGTTACATAGTGGAAAATTCCCATATGTAAAGTTATTGCACAAGGCACATTACTAGTCCAGATATAGCAGCCATCCCCTTTTTTCTTTCTGAATGTGCCCATTTTAGATACAGACAAAAGGCATTCCATGCAAAATGCACTACTCAAATCACTTAATGAGGACAGCCAAACTCCCATAATTCCTACGCACACATTTTGCAGAAAAATTAGTTAGTATTTTACACGCTGCCCAAGAAAACCGTACAAAATCAGTTTGTAATCTAAAACACAAACAAATACTATACTGAGTAGGGGGAGTAATCAGTTAAAACAAATGGATACAGCATAGAACAGATCAGTAACTTATTGCGCTACACACTGCTTAATTGTTGGAAAGGCAAAAAAATGCTGGCCTGAACCCCATGTCAGAAATTGAGAAAGTTGCATGCAATATAGCGGTGTGGAGGAATCGGATACGAGTCCTGTGTCTAACGGCACACGAAGGATTATGGTAATGATGATAGAATCAGTTTACATCTCTTGGAGACTGAAAACTAATTAAAGCGTGGCTATTACTTGACCCTGAACCCAGTTGCCCTGTAACCATTATAGCCAGTAAGGGAAATGTGACATAGGAATTTCTATAAATACATTATAATATTCTAAGGAAGCCCCACTAAGTGCTATTTTAAAATAAATTTGGTCATTTTCCTGTCATGCTAAATGTTTGCACAAACACAAATGCAATAAATTTGATTAAATGTTTCGTATACCTGACTATTTAGTGAGTCAGCCAGGCAGTTATTGCAAGGAAAGAATCATTATCAGGTGCCTTGCCGACTGGGTGGGCGATCATGCTTCTCCACAATCTGTAATCTCCTGCAGCATGTAAGGGAAAGGATACCAGCCAGAAATGTTTTCATTTTCTTCTCAGGGTGACAGAGTTGAGTGTTCAGAGGTGAATAAGATGCAGAGACACGGGAAGACATGCTATAATGACATACTGTAAACTGACTAGCAGAGGTAAAAGTATTATGAAACAAACATTGATTTCTCAACAGGTATTTTCCACGGCTGCAGATGGTCAAACTCAGGTACAGATCAAAGTTCACCAAGGAGAACGTGAAATGGCAGGAGACAACAAAATGTTGGGACAGTTCACATTGGTTAGTTGAATTTTTTTTTCAACTAAAGAAAAAAATTAATTGCATTTTATTCAAGGGGGGGGGGGGGCGCTTTAAAAATGTTAAGCATAGCTCTCTTTGGGTGTGTCATACATACAATTTTTGTGTGTTGCTTCTTCATAAATTTAGTGAATGTGTGTTTTCTAATGGTCTTTGGCAATCCCTGTGAAAGGGTCGTTCGACTCATAAAAGGGTCGAGACCCAGATTTTGAGAACCGCTGAGTTCTGTGGTAAAAAATCTCAGTGCATAAGATCAGGAAAGATAGGGGGGGGGGGTTATCTCCTATCTCTGAAACAAACCTGGTAATGAAATGAGGAACAAATTAGCAAAAGAAGGTGGGAGACCGTCTCGGCCTTATTCGCACATAAGCTTGGCCACCAGAAATATGAAGCACATCAATTCATCTGAAGTAGACAAGCAGCAGTCTTTAGACTCGGAACACAACTAGCTGACGTCTCACTTTCTTAATCTTCATTAAGCTAAAGGTAGAAGGTGCAGACAAATGTAACTGGGTTTGGTAATATGGCTACTAAACATTTGCTGCAAGTATCCGTCATGTGCAGAACAGAAAATTGATTTGGCCTCTTTCAGTACCAGGCTTTTCACCAGATTTATTGATATACTCTAAACATGATATACATTGGCCAGCTTCTTCTGTAATATTTTGTGGATGCATTATTCCTTCTTACTACAGTGGCTACTTTATTAACTCACACATTTCTACAGTTATGGTTCACGGAGACCTAAAGACTTGCTGCTGTAAAAATGTAAGGAAAGTGTTAAAGTAACAACTGTCTGGTACTAGTAAAGTATTTAAAAATTTGTTTTATTTAAATCTGAAAGTTTAGGTGAAGGAAATTTACTTGGGAAGTTAGCTTGTAAGAAAACAGATACTTGTCTGAAATCAGAAAACAAGTAGATTGCACTTCATTGATGGAACCTTACAGCCTATGGATAGAGTTTGATGGCACCAAGCTTTCTGACATTTGTAACTGCCAGAATGGAATCATGCTCATCACCTCAGCCAAAACATCAACTCAGGAAATTGGTGCTTAAATAAAAGATGAACATCAGGAAACATTACAGAAAAAAATCAGGAGCACAGTTGTAAGATTGTGCACAATAGTCTGAACATGGTCAACATTTTGTTTCTTTAAAAGAAAACCGAATTGAATTCTTGATTGACAAATGTATTTGATAGATGCTAAGTTTGAGAAGACCCCTGCTTTGATTTTAACAGTAGTTTTTGAGAGCTGACCATTCAGGGAGCATTAGCAAACTACTGAATGTAAAATTGGGTAGTAAAACCAGACAGCAAAAAACTGCTTTGTAAAATCTATATATTATGCATATAGTTGACGCAAGACATGTACAAACATCAAAGAGCTTTAAACGTGCATTGTGACATTTTCTTTGTCCTACAGGTTGGAATTCCTCCAGCCCCACGTGGGGTCCCCCAAATTGAGGTCGCTTTCGACATTGATGCCAACGGTATTGTCAACGTATCAGCACGTGACAAGGGAACAGGGAAAGAACAACAGAGTAAGTTCAAGTTTTCTTTTCAGCATTAAATATAGAGCGTCTCTCCTCCTCCCCACCACCCCCACCCCCACCACACACAAATTTTCAGATAAGATCTGCTAGATTGTTTCACCATGTAGTTGTGCGTGTCATTGGATACTATATTATTAGACAGACTGTAGGAACAACACCACGCACCAAATTCATTGAGAAACGGAAGATGGTTTGGTCATTTAGTAAGAATGCAGCCAGCACAACTAGCAATGCAGATGCTACACATGAACAGATCTGAAGTAAAAGCAAGAGGCCAACCTAGGAAAAAATTGATTGATGACATTAAAGAGCTTCTACATTGACATGGAATGGCAATAGTCATTGCTGCCCATCAAGGAGTAGATAGCAAACTGTTTCTCCCGATAAAGCTTAACAGCAGAAGTGAGAATTGATGATGATGAATTATTGAACTATGATGGGTACTTATCTTATTGTGACTTTATTGTTTGCTACCATAGTACATAAGGGACCCTTTTTGTGCCGTGGCACACCTGGCATTTGTTGCTAGGCTCATGTTTTTTATAGGTCTATGCTTTCATCAGCTCCTGGGGCTTAGGTTTTGTGAACGCACTGTAATTTTGCGAAGTCGGGTTCAATCCCAGCTGTGGACAATTTCGCAGCTGGGTTCGTTTTGCAACATTTTAATTTTTTTTAAAACGTGCAGCTAAACAAAAATGCTTTTGTAGGCTCTTTCCTATAAATAAACAGAGGGGGGAACCATTTGGGGTCGTTAAATATTATGAATTAATCAAGTAACAGAACGTATTGTAAACGGCACTCATAGAAAGAAGTAGAAAGATAGAAGAACACACTAGACAACATAAAAATCAAAAGCTATAGTCACCGTGCCGGGAATCGAATCCATCACATCCAGACGGCGTCTGCGCCTCGCCATGAATACAAGTGCACTAAGATACATGGTCAACTAGGCACCCCCAAAAAATGGTGTCTTATTGGCCATGTCTATAGTACAGCTTGAAATCCACGACTATGGAATACGGACAGAATTCATTTCAACATTTCAACCCATTGAAATGGCACTATAGGTTACAGAAATTTATATTAACGAAGCAAATGTCGGGGAAAAAAAAAACAATTTTTTGTAGACTCTACTTTTTGTCTTTGTGTAAAATAGATCACCTTAGTTTTTGTACTGTTTTGTAGCAAAGGTTTAGATTAGAAGACTCTATTCAGTGCGATGGCTGGGATTCCAGAAATTGAGGCATTGTTTGGGTCGCAGCAAAAAAATTATTCTCGGCTGCCCACCTAATGAAGTTATCTACAGTGTACCCTTTGGGAACGGGTGAACAGTGCGGAGGTGCAGATAGATCATTCCTGTCTAAGGAGAATGGCGTTGTGAGGAGTTACCAGGGGATCTGGCCGACGCTCACTACTCAGGAGAAAGATGAGACGGTTATTGGTACCATCAGAATTGGAACTCTTCACTTGCTGCTGAAGAGGGTGACTGAGCACTTGATTTATGGAAGTGTCCCGAGTGCTGTGATGGTGATTCTTGATTCAACATTCTACAGTGTACCACTTTTGTGTTTGAGGACACAGATCATACATTTCTACTACCTTCTTTCCCACAGTTGTAATTCAGTCATCTGGTGGATTATCCAAGGATGAGATTGAGAACATGGTGAGAAATGCTGAAGTACACGCAGAAGAAGACAAGAAAAAGAAGGTCAGTGCTGAATTTTTTGGTGTGAATTTGTAATCTTGATCCTCTAAAGGCAAACTTTGGTTCTGTGTTCTAAATGTTTAATGTTGAATTGAGAATCTACATCATAGCACTCCCCCATAAGCACTCTGCCCTCATCTTTACTGATCCTACCAGTAACTGTCTGGATGTATATTCGTCTGGCCCTTGTTTTGAGCGTTGAGCATCGACCAAATGCAAAATCCAGATTGTTATCTTCTTCGTCTTAGCGTTCTCCAGCTGTAAACTCTGGCGGAAGGTTTTGGTTGCTCGTCCACTACTGAACTGCAGTCCTGCTCCAGAACCTGAGTGTTGCGTGTTCATCAGTTTTACAGATCTCATTCTCTTGAATACAGACTGTTGGTTCCTTACCTCTCCAGCAGATGCACTCCGACTTTAAAGGAAGCTCCCCAATTAGTCGACTCTTACGACATGCTTTTGGGGAGGCAGTGGGTCTATCCTTGTTTTCCCCACATAGGGGCCCCGGAACCCACACGGGGGTAGATTGTTATGAAAGCACAGTTTAAAGAGAACTTTTCATTTCTTATAGATTTGGCAAGACATAGCAGAAGATACAGAGACCAAAAGTCTCTCATGAAAACTGATGATAAAGGATCAGTTGTCACAGAACATCAAAGGTTGTCTTTGACCAACTTTGTTAACTAACAAACAATCATTTATGGATGTGAGGTTAAGCAGTCAAGTGCAGGATGTGATGATTCCCCGGGACCAGTGTCATGTTTTGGCTAAGCATTTATGGAAGCCTCCTTAGATGGCGGGGAATGTCCATGTTCTGCCCCTGCCTTCTCTTGAGGGCAGGCCAGTTTACACTCTGTTGCCATGGCAGGTTCACAACACCTGTAGACAGGGGACAAAGGGAGCACCACATAAGCACAATGTCCAGAAAGTTGATGCAAGCTCTGCATGCAGATTGACAATCATAAATTTACTGTCATGTTTGTCCCAAAGATTGCAACATGAGGGTAATTTAAAGTCTGGCTAAGACTGTTATTATATCAGAAGTTCACATGATGGATCAAGCAAATGTGGTGAAAACACTTTAATAGTTGGGTCACGGTTGAGACTTTAAATGAATCAGCACCAGTTGATATGGCTGCAAGTAAATAGCAGCAAAGCACTTCAGGAAACTCACCAGTCAGCACTGAAATGTCCTAGCTAGTTGTTGTTTGATGGTGAGTTCATCATGGAAGAGATATGCCTGTAGTGCAGTCATGATGATTTCCACAGAGCTTAATAATTAAGCTGAACAGATATTCTCAGCAGAACTAGAAATGTATGAAACCCAGAAAGAAATAGAAGGCATTGATTTCTTTTAAGCACTGCTGGTTTTTTTTTTTTTTTTTTTTTTTTTTTTAATAGCAGTTGCTCTACATCCATAGTAGTAATAATAATAGTGGTGGTGGTGATTGCGCCAATTGCAGTAGTAAAGTGAAGGTCCCTTATCAGCACCTTTAGAGGCATTGGGGTCAATTTATGATAACAGGGGGACATGGACCCTGTTGCAAGGAAGGAAAAAATCAGGATGGGGGTAGGAATGAAGAGAAAATAATTGCAGACAGGCTGAGAGCTAAGCATTTCAGAAGAAGCACATTTGGTGTATGCTCTGGCAACAGTGGTCCTGGAATCCCATGTTCTAACTGTGGAAGACAATTCTCAGTATGTAAGGGTCTTGCTAGTCCCACTTATCTATGGGATCTGTTTCCCATGCCTCTTTATACCACTACCTTCTTCTTTGTTTACCGGCTGTGAGGTCTGACAGAAAGTCCTGGTTGTTTGTACATTTGGACTTTTAACTTTTTGCCAGAGCCAGATTTTACGTATACATATGTTTTGCTGGCTTATTTGTGTGCAGCTGGTTGTTTCTTGTCGCTCGAACAGATGCACGCACTCTGACTTATTAGTTGACTCCCAATTAGTTGACTCTAACGCCATGCTTTTTTTTTTAGACAGCAGTGGGTCTGCTTTTGTTTTCTCCACAATGGGGCCCCGGAACCTACACAGTATAAAACTGAAAACTGGAAAGATGAAGTGTTTACTGTTCTAAAAAAAATTTTTTTTTACTCGTTGGGTTCTTTACCTTCTCCAGCGGACAGTTCTGGTAGTTTGTGAACATCTGGACTTTAATTCAGTTTCAAAACAGTTTTGTATGCACATCCATTTTACAGACCTCTCTTCTGGCTTATTTATATGCAGACTGCTAGCTCCTCTCCTCTTAGGTTACTCAGAATTGAAAGGAAATACCCCTGATTAGTTACCTTTTGTGACATGTTTTTTTTTTGGGGGGGGGGGGGGGGCAATAGAAAGTTGCAGATATGAATCTGAGACTATTATGCTGTCAGGTCAGCAGCTTCCTGTAGTAATAGCAAATAATCTTAGCATTTAATATCATGCTTGTATTTCTCCCACCAACCTCCAGGAACTGATAGAGATACTCAACCAGGCAGACAGCATCATTCATGACACTGAAACTAAGATGGAAGAGTTCAAGGACCAGTTGCCTAAAGAGGAGGTAAGAGACATACAAGTTCTAACTGTCAGCTCCAAGCAGGCATTACTTCAGCTCATTATGCTCTAAATATTGAGTACTCAAGCCACGTATCCGGCTTGATATTAGCCACATTACCCATCAAGGGCCCATTGGTCAGTATCAGGTGTGAGTCTAGCCTCATATGCCACTAGTGTGTCAAGAGACCTTTAATTTTACAGTTCTGTCTGGGTCTGAATGGATTCAGAAAATAAAATAAGTAAAGAACCCTTTTCCGAGCCTTCAGACGTATTCAGTAAACTTGGTGGAGGATGAGGTCAGCATCATGCCGGACGGCCTGGGAGCCAAAGTCATTTTTTTTTTAAGAAAGCCTGGTTCCACCACAACCTGAAAGGGATTCAGATAATAACACTATCAAAATGGTACACAGTGAGTATTTGGATTCAGTGAGTTAATGTACTACTGATTAGGTCAGGAATGAGTTAAATAAAGCATATCATGTAAAGAGTAACCTAAACACACGGTGAGTTGTTTAGTACTAACGGAGCTAAAGAAAGACTGCTTTTTAAATTTGAGTTATAGTTTTCAGTGCCTTTTAATGTGTACTTCTGTCGCAGGATGAAGAAAAAAAAAAAACATACTATGCAGCAAGCACAGCTGTTTTTCATAAGCTTTAATATACATTTCACAAGACTAACCCAGACAATTATCTGAACCCATGTTTTAGCCAAAGATGCGCATAGCGCAGCAATGCTGTAAACAGACACAATGCAAATCTGTCATTAGACATGCTAAGTTGTAGTTTTATCTGATCATTATGTTCCCTTTTTTTTGGACAGAATTAAATATAAATTTGACAGTATACTGAAAAATGTACAGGTTTCCCAACTTTTTTGGGATACATTTTTGAAGCTTATAAAAACATTACAGCAAACGCTGATCAGTCTCAATCTTGATACAAATTTTTCTATGCCATGGCGCAACAGCATTCATTGGGGGGGTGGGGGGCTCTCTGCACTCTTCTCCGGCTTTTTGACACAGAATACTCAACAATTTTCTCATTTTCATGAAGTTATTTTATGAAATGTTGGCAATTTGAATTATAAATGAATTGTCTGTGATGAATCCTTAATGTGACAAGAAGAGACAGGATCCGAAACGATGACATCATGAAACAGGTTGGGACATAACCAGTGCTTAAACTACATCAAGAGACAACAGATCAAATGGTTCAAACATGTGTCAAGACTTATCACCAAACAGTACATCACAGAGAGCCCTGTCACTTAGATAGAATAGAAAAATACCTAGAGGTCCCCCTGCAAGCGATGGATGGATATATGGAATATCTGAGGCTGAAAGTACCAACATTGAATTAGCACATCTCTGTGTGGGTTCCAGGTCCCTATTATAGGGGATAAAAAATAATAGACCCACTTCTTACCCAAAAGCATGTCGTAAGAGTCGACTAATTGGGAGCTTCATTCGAAGTCGGAGTGCATCTGAGAGGCAAGGAACCAGCAGTCTGCATACAAATGAGTCAGATCTGTAAAATGGATTTACACCCAACTCATGTTTTGGAACAGGACTGCAGTCCAAAAGTGGATGAACAACCAGAACTTTCTGTCAGAGTTTACAGCTGGTGAGCACGAAGAAGAAATAGAATTAGCACACACCATTGCTCGCACCTGATGCTAAACGGCAGAACAGGATCAAAGAAGAGCAGTTGTTTTGACACCATTAAGAACCACATTTCTTTTCTCTTCAGTTACAACATAAAAAATGTCTTGTTGTTTCAGTGCGATAAACTTAAGGAAAAGATTGCTGATGTCAAGAATGTGATTGCCAACAAAGACAGCAAGACTCCAGATGAGATCAGACAACAGACTTCAGACCTGCAACAGGCATCTCTCAAACTGTTTGAAATGGCATACAAAAAGGTATAATAGCTTAGTCATTGTTATTTTTGTAGCTTCCTGTGTAACAATTTTCTGGTTGCTTAAATACTACTACTCCACCTTGTGTTGTTGGAGCTTTCCTTTAAAATCAGATATATTCCTAAGTTTTATGTTGAACCTGTTCTGCTATATTTGAAGACTTGTACTGTTCTGCTATATTTGAAGACTTGTACTGTTCATTGCTGAAAGTGCAGAAAAAAAAAGTGAAATCGAAAACCTACTGCTCCCAAATGAGACTGTGAAGCTGCCACCACAGCACCCTTGATGGGATAGTAGTGCCCACTTCAGTCATAATTATTTCTAGTCACCCTTTTATTGTTTAAATTTTTTTATAGAAAAAAAACATTCTGTTGCTGGAATCATATACGATTTAAAATATGAAGGGGGACAACAGCAATATATATATATATTTTAGAACTAACTATTTAAAAAAAGTAAAGTCGGGAGATGTGAACCAGCATCATTGCACATGGTTATAAACCATAATGTTCCTCCATTTACCCCAGAGTATCACTCTGGTACCCATTTCCTAAAGGCAGGGTGAACCCCGGGAACAACTCTAGCGAATGTTTACTTTAAATGATTGTCAGAAATGCATTTAAACAAGGCCACCAGTATCATTATTAAATTAGCAGCCAAAATGGCATCGAAACCTCAAACCCATTTACCGGTAACTGTTTAGGAGGAGTTACTTTTCCCTGAAAATGTACAGACATACATGTTCTGTTTTATAGAATAGATTTTATCCATTTTTCCTGTACATGTACACATTAATTTGTTTTTCATGTAAATATACACATTAATTTCATTGGTATGTTTTTCACTATCCAGATGGCTGCAGACAGAGAAAGCTCTGGCCGTAGCAACAGTGGAAGCTCAGAGTCTCAGGAGACCACAGAGAAAAAGGAAGACAAGAACTAAGCCAGCAGATATTGTATTTTGTTTCTAATGTATTGATTTTGAGAAGGTACTGAGTGAGTGAACACTGAAGGCACTAAGTAGGTATCTAGTTCTTAACAGGTGTCAAGATTGACTTAATGCAGACAATAAAGAAATCATCTTAAAGCCACCAGCTAGTTAATTAACTTTTTTCAAACAGAACAGTTTATATTGATAATTTAAATCCCGGCAAAGGTGTTTGGATGTTGAAGACAACAGATAAGACATGTTTTGAAAAGTAACTTCATACTACATTAAAACCTTGTTATCAAGAACTCCAAAAGACCAAGAATAATTCATGTTAAAAAGAAATTCTTGCACATGTTGAGATTCTTGCTCAAGTGAACAGAAAATGTTTGCTTGTGCTAAAGACATTTGTGCTAACTAGGTTCTAATAGTATAATCCTGAAGGGGCTTCATGCTGGGACAGAATGTTCATGTTATTCATGTTTATATTAATAGGGTAATACAGTAATTCATACATCAGACATTTACCTTTGGAGACTACATACATATGTGTGTGTGCTTTGATCTCAAAGTGTGTGTTTAAAAAAAAAAAAAAGTTTCTGACTGATGAAGTCTGTAAGTTTGTATGCACATGCCAACATGTTCATAAAGAATTCCATGAAGTGTATATGTCCATATACAATGCTAATATCAACTTTTGTACAATAAATGTAAACTAGGTGTAAATTCAGTGCACATAATTTATGGGGGCATTTTACGAATAGAATGTCTCTGTGTCATAATTTAAAGGTTCACTAGGGGCAAAGTCTTCTATGTATGCCTGCATGGCTATTTATAAGAATATTGTTTATCTCCCAGTGATCGGTATTTTTTTAAAAAATGTGCAACATTTCTTTTTGCAGCACGAAGTTTAAAGTTTATTATGTTTTCCACTGAACTGGGAATAGATTTCGTGGACAAAATCTCTGGCTATTCTGTTTTTTTTTTTTTTTTTTTTTTCCCAGCATTGCTTGTCTTGTTAGCATTGTTCTCTCTCTATCCCCACTGTAATCCCCCCCCCTCCCCCCCCCCCCTCTAAAGCGCCCATTCTACAATGAAATAAGAAATCTGGAAAATATTTTAGCAGTTAAAAAGACCCTTAATGGACAAAGAGGTAGAAGAAGACAGGAGAATTTCCAGACACCCTTGCATCATGGATCAGATATCTGTGTAACGAAATGATCATTTACAAAAACCTGACCACGTGGTCAAAATAATTAATGAGGCAGCCTGTCAAATAGACAGATAAAACGGGAGTGGTTAGAGAAAATTTAGATGTAGAAATTCAGCATTATATGGACAATTTATGATGGGAAAAAAAGCGTGAAAGTCATTAGTGGCACTTGGTAAACTTGATGAGAAAAAGAGCAAATAAGAATAGAGATATACTGACATGGATGGACAAGAACATAGACCGTATCATGATTCTGGTGATAATGTAAGATGTTGGAAACATAACGGCCTAAAACTTCTTATGGGTATGGCACATGTTGATGATGACAACATGGGAATTTTTGTTTTGGCACATTGCATGTCTTCTCCACCATGATTATTTGTTTTTGCTAATGTATTTATATTTTCATAGGAGATATTTGATTTGTAATAATACTGGATTGCTCTTGTTCCTTCTTGCTTTTATTTTCTCTTTATGAGAAATGCAATTGGTACCGTTTAAAATATATGCAATCTGAGAGGTGGGGAACCAGTAGGCTGCATACACATAAGCCTGATTTGTAAAACAGGTGTGCCTGCAAAACTCAAGTCCCCGAATAAGACCAGAGTCGAGAGTGGAAGAACAACCAGAATTTTCTGCTGGAGTTTACATCTGTTGAACATAGAATCTGAAAAATAAAACTGAGATTTGCATTTCAGTTTTTCTGTTGTCTTGGTTCTTGCAATGATTGTTTAGAATACTTAGAAAAGTACTGAAAATATTAGATATTTAAAAAAAACTTGATTGTTGTCACATATGGTATGTCCAGTTGTGTTTGTTTTAGTATCCAGAAGCCATGTCTGTATTATGGATATCACAACCTTTCGGCCTTGATTCCATTGTAAATACCGTAAATCTGGGAGAAATGTGGCTTTTCTGCCTACCGCCGGGAGTAAACCCGGACTACAAGGAGTTCGTCACCCGGTCACTGCGCAATCTGGTTTAGCCAGCTACGTCCAGTTATCTGTCGAGGTTCCGATACCCTATTTAAAGTTGAAAAAAGGTGGACCCTTTCCACCCCCCCCCCCCCAGCAAACAAAGTGTTGGCTCTGCCAGGACGTGGACCCACAACTATCAGATTGGTAGTCTGTCTGCTGCACCACGGCAGGCCCTATTTACCTGTTCACAAATTTAGATGTGAGAGCAGTTTTGTCATTAACTTCTCACTGCCTGATCTGTATGTATAATCTTGAATGATTTTTCATCGCTTACCCGCTTTACCACTGAGCCTAAAACAGGTAATGAACTAAAAAGGTATTGGCTATGTTGCTGACCACTTCAGTGACTGGTCTATAAAATATAGTTCTAGACCTATATGTTCAATACCCCCAAGGACGTGGAAAAGGGTCTTTTACCTTTTTTGTTCTTATTTTTTAAACTATAGGCTTGATGTATCAAAAGGGCCACATAACTTATGCCTTCACAGCTAAACTTAGCTGATGATGTAAAAAATCTGCACTTCAAGTTCTGCTTATATGAATTGCTTATCTCTTTGTTCTGTTTTTCTCAAGACTTGAATGTATCCCCCATCAGTTTGTAAAATTTGAACTCCCAAGTAATTTGAGTTTTTGCTCTTGAAAAACTTGAAAATTTGGGGCCAGAAATGAAATGATTCAGTTCCAGTAAAGAATTGTCTCTCATGTAGAGAGTGAAAGACAGAAGTAGGTGGTAACTATTATGATAATGAAGAGTTTGTGGCTGGGTTACAAATCCTTTAAATGGCTGACTGGGTCACAGAGGCTGAAAAGGATCCACCAGGATAACCTCAAAGAATGTGTAAGTAGATTCTTGTCTAACTCATTAGCAGTCTTGCATACACAATGTGGCTCTCATTGGACTTTATATCACAGCAGAGACAATGTTTGAGAGAGAGAGAGAGAGAGATACCAACACACACCCAAACTCCCCTATTTCTCCCCAATTAGTCACTAGTGAGTCCTCTGTGTCTGCAGCTCAAGCCTGGCATCTCAGTATGAATCAGTCAACCCTGGATTTTATTTTGAGTGAGGATTCCTGTTAAGCTTCTGGAATACAGTGATGGAGAGTGCAGCTTCATGAAAACAGTGATGGAGAGTGCAGCTTCATGAAAACAGTGATGGAGAGTGCAGCTTCATGAAAACAGTGATGGAGAGTGCAGCTTCATGAAAACAGTGATGGAGAGTGCAGCTTCATGAAAACAGTGATGGAGAGTGCAGCTTCATGAAAACAGTGATGGAGAGTGTAGCTTCATGAAAACAGTGATGGAGAGTGCAGCTTCATGAAAACAAGACAGAGGCCAACCTCCAGGAATGTAGAGACAGGGCATTGATGAAACATTGGCTATGAAAGCACACAGTGCTGGAGAAAGACTTTCAGGCATGCCATAAAGATAGCAACATTCTATAAGTACATGCTGATTGATAGACCGACTGAGGTTTTCAGATTTTTTGAAACATTAATAGTTAAAAGTTGAGAGAAGAATAAATCTCATCACACCAGGTTATCCCATATAGCTCGATATCTCCGCAAAATGGCTGGGCGGCTGCAAAAAGCACAAACTCTGATAGTGAACTCCAGATGATCCCCAGATATCTTTTTTAAAAACTGAATGACACATCTGGAAAATGAACCCAAGACCTTCAGAGCATGCGGCGCACAGCTGGATCACTTCACCATGAGAACGCCCCAAACCCTGGGCCAACTACCATGTACAATTCCATCAGTTAAAAAGAATGGATTTGAGCAAATGATATACTAGAATGTGGGGCATTAAAAAAAAAAAGTGACCCTAAATATGGTCCCCATTTTTTCTACTCCAGAAAGTTTGGAAAACTTTTTATTTCAGGCCGGTATCATAGACCAGACAGACGTATAAATTAAAGCTGCACTGATGTACACATGCCAACATTTGAAATCACATCAACAATGCTTCGAAAAATAAACATATATTTAGGTACAGTTTACACTTTGTTTACAATTATGAGTGAAAATATCTCCATTAAAAAAATGTTTTTCAACCATACTATGTAGCAATACATTATTTTAAAGCAATCATGTTTCATAATTCTACAATGCCCTTCTTAGACACTAATATTATGCAGTAGTAATACCCCAAAACTCTTATGTTGCTAGTAGTAATACCCCAAAACTCTTATGTTGCTATGTGCCATAATAGAAGCATATAACAGTATAAAAGTGTAACCTGTCATGTGTAGGTTCCGGAGCCCCGGGAGGGGGAGGGGGTGATAAACACACTGCCTCCCTAGCAAGTATGTCACAAAAGCTGACTAATTAAGAGCATTTCCTTCAAAGTCGAAGTGCATCTGCTAGCGAGGCAAGGAACCAAGAGTCTGCATTCACATAAGCCAGATCTGTAAAACAGATGTGCAAACTCAACTAATTCAGGATCAAAACTACAGTCAAAATTGGATGAACAACCAGAACTTTTCACCAGCATTTACAGCTGGTGAACACAAAGAAAAAGATCCATATACTTTTTTTTAAATACCTTACATATTTTGCTGTATCTCATCAGATTACTTGAGAGTTACATCAACATATAGAGCACAAAAACACTCCTTTCCACTGAAGGAACAAACTGCATGGTCTTCTCTAGATACACTTGTTTACCTCACTGTTAGAAGTTCAAGACAGTCCCATGACTACTACGTCAATTTTTTATTTACCACAATTTTTTTTTAAAAACATATTACACAATTAAAAAAATGTTTATGCACCGCACGGTTTAACGGGCAGTTACTTAACTTGGCCGAAGCTTAACAGG